CATACCAAGGTCACTGACCAGGATTCTCATAACATATATCATCATTACATCAAAAATCATTTAATATTTATATGAATGTGAATGAATGCACATATATAACATATCAAACACTTATTCATAAACTGAACAATATCTTTCTTCATACCAGACCACCAGAAATTTGGTTTCATGGCCTGATACATCTTGGTAGCAATAGGATGGATAATGTACTTACCTATACGGACCTCAGTTAACACCTCATCCACTATTTGACCCTTCGGAACAATGATCCGATCTTTGTAAAATTTAAGACCGAACCTATCAGTGGACACAAAGTCCTGTTCTTTCATGGACTGAATCTCTTCATCAAGCAATTGAGCTTCTTTGATCCGCTCAACTAATGAGTTCTGGACTACCGTAGTAGTCAATAAATGCAGACTATCCTCGGTATTCACAGGAATGCAGAGATCCCTGAATTTCTCAATCAAATTATACTCAGAAATCATCAAATTGGCCATACCTACATTAGCCTTATCGGGGTGATATTGCAATTCAAAATCATAATCCTTCAGGAATTCTACCCATCGGCGTTGCCTCATATTCAGCTCTTTCTGATCAAACAGATACTTCAAACTTTTGTGGTCATTGTAGACAATGAAATCGGCCCCCGTATAGAAAGTGTCGCCAAATTCTCAATGCGAACACTACGGCTGCCAACTCAAGATCGTGTGTCGGATAGTTCTCCTCATGCGGCTTTTACTGCCGAGAAGCATAAGCAACCACCTGACGAAACTGCATTAAAACACAGCCTAACCCAAACTTAGAAGCATCACAATACACCACAAATTTATTGGTAGGATCCGGCAATATCAATACCGGAGCTGTAGTCAACTTCTTTTTTACTCCTGAAAACTCACTTCACATTCTTGGGTCTACACAAATGGGTTCCCCTTACGGGTTAACCGTGTCAAAGGTAGTACCATCCGTGAGAATCCCTCAATAAAACGCCTGTAATACCCAGTCAAACCAAGAAAACTCCCGATTTCTGTAATATTTTTAGGTCGCTCCCAATCTAACACTGCTTCAATCTTACTCGGGTCCATTGCCACTCCTTCAGATGAAATGACATGGCCCAGAAATTGTATCTCAAAAAGCCCGAATTCACATTTTGACGGTTTAGCATACAACTGATGCTCTCTCAGAATCTGCAAAACAACCTTTAGATGCTCAGAATGCTCTTCTTTACTCTTTGAATATATCAGTATGTCATCTATAAAGACCACCACAAACTGATCCAAATAGGCTTTAAAGATCCGATTTATATAACCCATGAAAACGGCTGGTGCATTTGTAAGCCCAAAAGGAATAACCAGATACTCATAGTGCCCATAACGGGACCTGAAAGCTGTCTTTGGAACGTCATCCGGCTTTACCCGGATCTGATGTTACCCAGACCGAAGATCAATCTTAGAAAATATAGTCGCACCACACAATTGATCCAACAAATCGTCTATACGCGGCAAAGGATACTTATTCTTGACAGTAACCTTGTTCAACTGCCGGTAATCTGTACGCAATCTTATAGACTCGTCCTTCTTCTTAACAAAGATCACCGGGACTCTCCACGGAGATACACTCCGTCTGATAAAATTCTTACTAGACAAGTCTTCTATCTGCTTCTTCAATTCAGATAATTCCAGAGGTGACATCCGGTATGGGGCAAGAGAGATAGGCCCCACGCCAGGTAACAAGTCGATTGTAAATTCAATTTTCTTCTCTGACGAAAATTCGAAATTTCATCCTTATCACAGTCAAATTGAATGCTTCATTATTAATTCAAGCTCTTTCTGCCTAGTTGTAGTCCAAGTCTGCTGTAGTGCAACCAAAATCGCTACAACATGATCCGGTGGTGGATCATGATTATTAAATGTTCTACGAGTTCTCCTTGGAGGAACCATATCTCTGCATATATTACACTAAGGAATGAGTTAGCTACGCTCACACTCAGTGATCACACATGCATTATACAGCACTCCAAGAAAACACTCAAGAACTTCCAACTTCAAATATCTTAAGCTATATATCATGTAACTCCCTAGAGCAACTGCTCTGATACCATAAATGTAACATCCCCGGCCTCGAGTCGGTTCAATTAACATGCATATGATACTTAACAGAAACAGCGGAAGACTTAACTTACGAAAATACGAACTAACTTTTTCTTTTTCTTTAATCCTTTTTCACATGACATATCACATTGCATACTTCTTCTAATTTAATTCTTATTTTACGGAGACGAAAATCGGACAGAGTAACCTCTGTAAATCGGACAACTGGGGATTTTCCAATCCCACTCTCAAGAGTTCCTGATAGACAGTTTAAACAATATATATTTCCAGAAGTACCAGTCATGCAAATATACTCAGATACCCATCTATGGGCGCATGCTGAACTTGGCTCCGTGCCACAAATCTAATAGCATGCAATCCAATACATAATATAACTGAATACTACATAGTCATATCATCATGCCTGAATACATAAATGTACATGTATCGAATATGAACACTATGCAACAATACATCTTTTCCAAAAATACGTCTAAAACAAATAGTAGCATCCGACCACCCAGAACTCCACATCCTCATACTAGTACCTCTAGCCACGGTTAGTGTCCTTGTCCCATGAGGCTCTTCAATTAACTGTGTTCCTGAAATCATATCCCCAAACGGGGTTAGAGACGAATCTCTAGTAAACTCCAGGTTTATGGAAAACCCTCCATACCCTGGGCTCACTTCCTGCATGACAATCAGATACATAATATACAAAACATCATATAAGCAATTATCATAACTGAACAAAGCATATATACATATCTTATCAAAGACAAACGCAGTCATTCCCAAGGGATGACCCCAAGCGAAAATCAACACACGTAACAAATATCTTTTACAAAAATCATCACAATACTCACATCAGAACAAAACGTGTTATATCAGAGACGTACGTAATTGTTCCCAAGGGATGACCCCAAGCGGAAATCAACGTACGTAACAAATATCATTTACAAAATCATCATACATATCCCATAAAACATGTCATATAATCAAATATCATAACTAAACAAAACATATACACATATCTTATCAGAAACGTACGCAGATATTCCCAAGGGAGGACCCCAAGCGGAAATCAACGCACGTGTTCCCAAGGGAGGACCCCAAGCGGAACCAGAACATATCAGAGGCGTACGCAGTCATTCCCAAGGGAGGACCCCAAGCGGAAATCAACGCACGTGTTCCCGAGGGAGGACCCCAAAGCGGAACCAGAACATATCAGAGGCGTACGCAGTCATTCCCAAGGGAGGACCCCAAGCGGAAATCAACGCACGTGTTCCCGAGGGAGGACCCCAAAGCGGAACCAGAACATATCAGAGGCGTACGCAGTCATTCCCAAGGGAGGACCCTAAGCGGAAATCAACGCACGTGTTCCCGAGGGAGGACCCCAAAGCGGAACCAGAACATATCAAAGGCGTACACCATCAGTCCCGAGGGAGGACCCCAAAGCGAACATTCGGGTACTATACAATCAATGGCCAGATATTGTTACAGAAATCATATTACAGAAGTCATATCATAACAAAACATATCATATTAACACATATCAAAGTAAATACATCAAAACAAAACATATCATATTATCATATAGCTCTATATGAATGCATCTATATCATATATCTCATACATATCATACAACCTGACCACAGTCCGTACACTATGGCGGAACACAAAGTAGGAGCGAACCCCATAAACATAGAGCTTACCTCTTGGAGCTTTACAGTTTGCTTACTTGAAGAGCAAGCTACTTATCATGCTCCACGAGAATCCAAACGTTCACAGTAGGTACACCTAGAGAAGGAATTCAACACAAAACTCAATAAAATGATATAATGCCATGTAAATATACAAGACACACACTTTATTGTTTATTTTCTTTTTACTTAAATCATATTAAGTCATGAGTGGGTGGTTCTTTGTTCAATAAATCCCCACAAAATTTCAAACATTCACTTAGTCTTAGGATAGTCCCAACTTAAGGCAGAATGTCCATTACAATGGAGCTATAAGATTTCTCTTTGCCTAGTGCCTAAACCCAAGCTTAGCCACCTATATAAATTATTTTACGCATATAAGTGTTCTCACTTTGCGAAATAATATCTCCGAACATATACCTCCTTTGAAAATGGCTAAAACTCATTTTAAGGTCATACAAAGGAGCTACCTTATTTTCTTTTTTATTTCACCAAAGCGAAGGTCCATACACCTTAGAATATTATTCCACGCATAAAAGTATGCTCGATTTGTAAAACAGTAACTCATAGCACATACTTCCTTTGTAAATGGCTAAGAGGCACGTAAAGGAATTCATGCCAACTTCATGATTCCAATGCTTTAGTCCATCAAATTCAAGCTTATCACACACCTCTAATCCAAGATTCATTAATTCATATATATACGGTACTACGGTACCGTTCATCTCTACAATACTATTCATGTATACGTCACTATTCACGTATACAACACTATTCAAAAATATGGTATCTTTAATTTTTCAGATACATTTTCACCGTTAAAATTCTCATCTAAACACTTTTCTCAACATGAGCTAAACTTGAATCAAGCTCTAACATGCTCAATCAAACCAAATTTTCAAAATGAAACCATAAATTCAATCTTCATAAAAACATGAAAAGGAAGGGAATTTCTTACCACAATGCACTCTAAAACAAAGGAGAGATGAGTATCTAAGCTCCCATGGCCTCAAGCTCCATCAAAATCACCATTATCCATGAAATTCGAAATCTTAGATGATGAAGATCTCTCTCTACAGTGAAACCCACCCAGAAATACTGGTACCAATGGATTCCTCTCGAAATTTCTCACAAGTTTGGCTTTGGAACGGAGTGATTTGGAGGTCTCTAGCTCTCTCTACGAATTTTGGAAGGTTTTTATTCAAAACCTCCATTTCTCTCATTTTGCTCTCTGTCCGACGACGAAGAAGAATGGGGAAACAGTGACTCACTACTCACTTAAGTGAGTTTATTTTACTAGTGGGTATAAGCTTATCTATCTATGCACCTCCATTTATTACCAAACTTCACCCAAAGGACTAGAATATTTTTCTAGTCACTTTTCTATATTTACTTTCACTTTTTGGATAACTTTATTTACCCGCATTTTTACCACTTAACTGTCATTTTAACTCCTCTTTCACCAAAAGTGACTTTATTTCTTTTACTTCTAATTATTCTTCAAAATTAAATCCACAACTACTAGTGATGGTTATTATACCCTGATTCTGCAATTGAGTATCAGATTTTGGTATAGACAGGGGATATTCTAGTGTCAGGAAGTTATGGCCTTTTTGAAAATTTATATGCTGATGGTATCAAAAAAAATTTGATGAGCACAGAAGGAATCTTGGAAATCAATGATTTGGCTGAGCATATAGCAGAAATTGCTCTGTTCCTTTCTAGGCCCAAAGATTATCGAATCTGATGCTTCTAAGAGGAAAGGACGTAATCATGAGGGAGGAAAAAAAGATGATATCACTATTTTAGTGGCTCAAATTACAATATGAGGTTGTTTAGGTCTTTGAGTTTTGTAATATTTCCTTCTCATTCGATTACTTGTATATATGAAGTTGTTTAGTCCTTTGATGTATATAATTCCTTCTAATTGGTAACTAAACTGTTTTTTTCATCTGTATGTATATACTGCCCGCGAATAATATAGACTTTTACATCTGGTGTTACAATTGGTAATTAGATAGTGTTTTACATCTATACATATTTACATCTTATGCGGTTTTTATTGTATGATTCTAACTGAGAGAGTATTGGGGCAATTTTTTTTTTTTTTGGTTATAAAGAAATTCTAAAATCTGGTGTGGGGAGGGGTAGGATAAGATGAAATGAAAACAAAGTAGCATGGAAGTGGGAACAAACAGTCCTCAAAAGGACTTGGTGCCACTTAAATTACAACTCTTGGGTAATTACTGATCCTTAATATCATGAAATAGTAAAAAGAAATTGCAAAACTAATGCCAGCCATTATGTTGTGTTCTAGAAGTTGCATTAGGAAATAAGAATAGGATGCGAAAGGAAGTTGTGTTTGCTTAGATGGACTATTACCACTGCCACCTCACAAACTATTTATCAAATAGTTATTCTGTTATACCTTGATAGGTAGTTACTGCTAAGTTAATTAGTTACACTTACATTTCTGTTTTGAATCAGTTAGCTTAGTTTAGCTCTTCATGTATTAAGCTGATATATATATATATATATATATATATATATATATATATACATATATATATATATATATATATATATATATATATGGGTCCGTCGCTTCTCATGTGACTGCTGATGAGAAAAGTTGCAGCAAATTTTTAACACTAGGATACACGTGCGGATCCTAGGATACACGTGCGGATTCTATCAAAAAAAAAAAAACCAGGATTCGGACGCGTATCCTGTGTTGCTGCAAGTTTTCCCTTTTGCAGTAACATAAGAAGTACTTTCCCATATATATATATATATATATATATATATATATATATATGGGGAAGGTTATAGTTTCAACCTTTTTTTTTACAACCTCTTACAACCATATCTTAACACCGTTGATTTCCGCCAATCAACGGTTATCATTTATTGTGAATTAATAATTAATTAATGAATTTAATTTGTTAAAATAATAACCGTTGATTGGCGGAAATCAACGGTAATAAGAAAAGGTTATAAGAGGTTGTAAAAAAAAAGGTTGTAACTATAACCTTCCTATATATATATATATATATATATATATATATATATATATATATAGCAAAATGATTTCTGCAGCCGGTGCACCTACAGCTAGCCAGGATCCGCGTGCGGATCCTAGGATACAGCACCGGATCCTTGTTTTTTTTTTTTTTAAAACGCCGTGGGCCCACTTTTCTGTGTCAGCTGTAGAGTGTTATCTACAGCGGCGGCAGAAATGATAAGCCCTATATATATATATATATATATATATAATATATATATATATATATAAGATTTATTACTAAATGGTACAAAGATATGGTGATAAAGAGAGAAAAAAAGGGAATCATAATCATTCAAATGTGAATCAATTAATATAAATAAATAAAACGACGTAGTCTTGGAGTTGCCAGAGATAAACTTATCTCAAGCTGCTTGAAAAATGTTTTTCCATATCAACAACCACTGTAGTTACAAATTCATTCAATGCAATTATCAATTTCTTCCTTCAGTAATTCAGTAATATGGACAGCAGTTAATTAATGGTACTAATTGCTATATACATGTGATCTGTACATCTATTGTGTTTTTCCTTCTTCGTAACTAAGTTGCTTCATAAAGAGTACTAATTAACACATAATTCAGTTAATTTGCCATGGAACAGATACACATAAATCAATAATAAACGTTAAACTGTTGCTAATTTCGTTTTTAGTATTTGAATACCGATATATTGATAATTTCGAGAGCCATTGTACTATTTCTAGCAATGGAGTTTCTTTAACCATAGCTCAAACTCTTGTTGGTGCTTCTGGGTTCTAGCTTTACCTCACCTCCTTTTTAGTTCTCTTATGGCTTTTTTTCCCATTTTGTGTAACTGCTTGAAATTTCAGAATTCGCAGGTCAAGCTAATTGAAGCCTAAAGTATTAAGTTATGCTACCGAATGGAATTCTAACATATGGCTGCTTCTAAACTGCAAGTGTTTTTGAGAAGGGTGAATGGAGTAGAGTGAATAACATTAGCACTAGAAATCTATAACTGCATAGGAGTTCAAATATTAATTAAATTTTTAACTTTCCTAATGCTTAGAACTTTAATTGCCAATCTCTGATTGCCTATTTTTTCTACTCAGTTGTCTTGATTTCAGACCATGGTGAGGTGCAGAGATACTTTTTCGCTAAGTTTAGTTTTGTGAAGATGGGGGCTGGGGAGGAACGACTTGTATTTGTAAGTATTATCTTTCTGAATATTATAATGTTCTCTAGACGTGAAATGAGCATGTTACACAACTAATAATGCATGTTCTTGTTTCCTTTGGATTAGTTTTCTCTGTATCATATAATGTAGTTTTTTCCATTGGGACATTAATCATCTTAGAATACTCACAATTCCACATCTTTGCTTTGCATAATACAATTGAAAAGGTTAAAATGTTTAGAATGTTGTAAATGTAAAAAGGGAGGGGGAAAGAGAATTTTTGTTGTTACATACTAGATGAATGGCCATTCATGCTAATTATTGTTAATGTCCTATGTTTTCTAGACTGTAATGCTTCTTCATTGAATTAAATTATCACTTTATCCTTGTTGTCTCCTTTTTTATTTTCAATCTAATCTTCAGACTTGAGGCCCATTTTCTTCACGGTTGAGTTTTGCTAGCAATATGAAGTGATTGTTTAGACAATTAATACTTGTAGCATCCAATAGATCTGATAGATATGTTTATAGTATATTTTCTGCATGTGTATAGTAGAGTACAAACCACCCCAAATTTGTGATGGATGTTGTATGGCTTCCTACATGCCTATTTACAAATTATTTATTTTGTTTTACTACTGCTTTGACCTGAAATCATGTTTCCATGAATCTTACATATGAGGGACTTACATTGTTCGAACCAAAGTTTTGGTTTTGTTCTAACAACATCTACTGAATTGTTGAGGTCGTATGTTTTAATAAACCATTGGTAATTGATGTTGCATATCTGTCACCTCTTGGACCAGCTGCGATTTTTGCAGTATAATGTTTAATATGTTTTATATCGGGTAATTGTTTTATTTATTTATTTGTAATTATCAAAAAGAATGACAGCTATGGGATAGCTGTCACAAAATTTGGTGTTGCAACAGAGACGGGGTAGAAAGAGGGGGGAATCTTTATCATTCTTAGAGCCTGTTTGGATCCTCTTATTTTTAAGCTAGAATTGGATCCTTTTATTTTTAAGCTAGAAGCTACTTATAAGTTAAAGCTAAAAAAAAGAGCTTAAAAAAATAAGCTAAAAGCTGTTTGGAAATTACATAAAAATTTTAGCTTAAAAATTACTTAAAAGCACATATTTCAAGAAAATTATCTCTTTCTATCTTTATCACTCTTTATTTTAAAAAAAAAGCACACAATTCAAGAAAAACAGATAAGAGCTTAAAAAAAAGCTCCTCCTAGAAGCTTTTAATTTTCAGCTTTTTTCTTCATTATAAAAAAAGAGCTTTTCGTTATAAGAGCTTTTCCCAAAACTTGTTTGGCCTTATAAGTAGCTTGTAGCTTAAAAAAAAGAGGATCCAAACAGGCACTTAGTACTATTGCTATTTATAATATTTTATTGGCATTGCTATAATAATAACAATGATCTATTTACCTACATAATTGCGTTTTATATATCGAGGTTGCAGAAAAAGTTAAATGTTATTTGTTTATAGAAAGCCACATTAGCAAGTGGGATAAGTGAAGATGCAAGCCAGATTATACAGATTAGAATGTGAGTGATCCACAATAACAAGGGTTATTTGTTTGAAAGCCGTCCAGATCAGCATTTCAAAGTAGGTGAAATAATATATTTGCATGATCCTATGTAAAAGCTACAATGAGAAATTGTGTTAAGATAGGTAAGTGATAGTTTAGTGATCTCCCATTTGAGTTGTTCGATCATGTTTTGTAACTTACTTGATTTGGGGTTAAATTTTAAGATTGTGCCTAGCCTATGGATGATACACCGAAAATACAAAAATGTACTCTATTTCTTCGCATAAATTATTTTAAACTATTGATTAGATTTAGAAATGATACTTTACTCTAGCATTTGGTAATGCACGGTAATGTCTTCAACTGCATACAGAGTAATGTCTTCGTTGATGAGCTGGAGAAGGAAATGGTTACAAGGCTGAGCCACTTTTACAGGGAGGGCGACATGGAGGCAGATAAATTAGCTCTTTTGGGTCATTCCTTTTTGAACTG